TGAAATACCATGTGCGGCCGCCGTTGATCTAATTGATTGCTTTCTTTCTAGGACCTCTTTTACCGCCAGGTCAATGGTTTCACTTGTGGGACGAATCCTCTTCCTCTTTACTGCGCTTCATTGTCTAAAACAAAATAAAAATCATGTAAAAAGAAATCTAAATGTATATTTTTTACATAGGTGTTTTGGAGAAACGGACGTCCGTTTCAATACTATATTGCATGTCCACTTCAAAGCAACGGATAGTTGATGTTTTTAAATAGAAAATATTCAAACTACAATTGACTTATAAGATAAAATAAGATATATTTATATTTAATATAAGGCCAGAAGAATGTATAAAAACAAATATATAACTATAAATTTTGAATTACTTACGGTTTACGTCAAATAGGGTTCGGAAGTTGCACAAAAAATTTACTTTTGACGGCCCAAAAATAAAAATGCACCTGTAGCTCGGATTAACTTCAGGAACAGACTGGTTTTTATGTAGGCTGACGTAATGGATACAACGTTGCCACGGTGTGCCGCAGTGGAGCTTAGTTTAAATTGTTAAATCAGTTACAGCGACTGTCCGTTTCATAACCCGTCCGTTTCATTGCCACTTTCCCCTATATTGATAATTTAGTTATATATTATATAAAATCAATAACCCTTCTACCCTAAGGTGTTCGGTGTAAAGTCTCTTGTTAGGTTTCGTATACAAACTTTTTCCAATCCTTCTTTTTTTATCCATCCTTACCATGTGGCCGTACCATCCCAGTTGAGCGTTTTCAATTTTCTTGTCTATTGATTGGACTGTAAGGCGTTCTCTTATTTCCTCGTTCCGTATCCTGTCCATTCTGGTCACCTCTAATACTCTTCTTAGATACTTCATTGCAATACTATACAGTTTATTTTTTAGTCCGGTGATGAGCGTCCAGATTTCACATCCAAATGTTAAGATAGGTACAAAAACTGTGTTGCAGATAGCTATATAGGCTTTTTGGGATACTACTTTTTTCGATAGGAATGTGCTCTTAATTGCGTGGTATATCCGGTAAGCGTTTGCTATTCAATTGTTTATCTCTGCTAAAACAATTAGAAAAGAACTAAAACGCGACATACAAAAATGGAACGACAACTTAATAGAGCGAGTCATTGAAAAACAACAGAGGCTTAAAATGTCTAAGACCCGCACTGGGAGTTCAAAAAATCATCAAAATTAAAGACGCCAAAAATAAGGTAGAGAAGGACAAATACAAAATAACAAATATTGTCGAAGACTTCTACACATCCTTGTACAGCTCGCAAGGCCAGCCTAATGAAACAACAAAGGAGAACGTCAAAAGAAAAATAAAAAACGTGGGATCAGAAGTACTACCAAATATAAAGGGATACGAAATAGAAAGAGCTTTAAAAGAACTAACAAATAATAAAGCTCCAGGACACGACGGTATAATTGCCGAGCTCTTGAAAACAAGCAAGACATTAACAATCCCTGTACTAAAAGAGCTATTTAATAGATGTCTCCATAATAGCCAGATCCCTTAAGACTGGAACGAAAGTCTAGTAATACTCTTACACAAAAAAGGAGACAAATGTGATCTACAGAATTATAGACCTATATCGTTGCTCAGTCAAGTATACAAACTATTTATGGGAATTATTAATAACCGGTTAACCTACAAAATGGATAATTACCAACGACAATGAGAACATTGATAGAGAAGGCAAATAAATACCAACTACCCGTATTTCTTGCCTTCGTCGACTATGAAAAGCGTTTGATAGTATCGAGATGTGGGCCATAGAACAAGCTATTAATAATTGTAGAATAGATTCGAGATATAGGCAACTTATACATAATATATATGAAAATGCAACTATGATAGTACAACTAGACGAAAATACAAATCCCATCCCCATTAAGAGAGGAGTGAGACAAGGAGACGTAATTTCAAAGCTTTTCAACCTAGCCCTAGAGGACGTCTTTCAAACTACAAATTGGTCAACCTATGGCATTAACGTTAATGACAACAAGTTAAACCACCTTAGACATAGTGATTATAGCGGTCACATTCGAGGAACTGCAAATTATGTTGGGGGAACTAGCAGCCAGCTCCCAATACGTCGGCCTAAAAATTAATATAAAAAAAACAAAAATAATGACAAACACAGATGACCCCAGACATATAACTATAAACGGCAGTGAGATAGAACAAATTCAGGAATATATCTACCTAGGCCAAATCCTGAGACTTGACAAAGAGAACCAAAGTGCGGAAATTACTAGAAGAGCAAGACTAGCATGGGCAGAATTTAAAAAACTTAGTTGGATACTTAAGAACCGCAAAAATACCACAATACTTGAGGAGAAAAATGTTCAACCAATGCATCCTTCCTATCATGACATATGGATGTCAAACCTGGACCCTAACCAAGGCAAACATGAATAAACTAGGAACAACAGAAAGAACAATGGAAAGAGCAATGTTAGGTATACGACTGTCAGATAAAAAGAGGAACGACTAGGTAAGATCCAAAACAAAAGTCGAGGACATAACAACAAAAATTGCCAAACTTAAATGGAGCTTCGCGGACCACACTGCTAGACAGAAAGACCAACGTTGGAATACTACAATACAACATTGAAGACCTTACAAAGTAAACGACCAAGGGGAAGACCACAGATGATATGGGTTGATGACATTAACTAAGGTTTACTAAGTTCTACGTATGGTCAGTGCTGCTATATGGCGTAGAGGGCTGGACACTCAAAACGAGGGATATAAACATATTAGAAGCTTTCGAAATGTCGCTTTATCGCCGTATCCTAAAAATACCATGGACAGCGAAAATCACAAATATAGATGTCCTTAAAAGAATAAACCAAGAACGCCAACTCTTTGAAACTATCAAGAAAAGGAAAACGGCGTATCTAGGTCACATCATGCGAAATGAAAAATACCAGTTCCTCCAACTTATAATCGAGGGTAAAATTAAAGGCAAGAGAGAAATGGGACGCAAGAAAATGTCCTGGCTTCGAAACATAAGGCAATGGACAGGGATTAACGACATACAATCTCTGATACATATTGCAAGAAATAGAGAATTAATGGAAAATGTGATCGCTAACATCCATTAGTGGATTTGCATCCGAAGAAGAAAAAGATGACATTAAAAGAATAGCTAGAACAAATTGGAAATATGTTGCTCAGGATAGAGACCGATGAAAGGAATTGGGAGAGGCCTATGTCCAAACATGGACGACAGAAGACTAATAAGAAGAACATCTCTGCTTCTTGTCTACTCCCTAGTTTCTAGTTGCACTCCCAGGTATTTGAAGGTGTCGATTATTTCTAAAGTATCATTATTGATTTTAATGTTGGTATGTTGGTCTGTTTTCCTACATATCATGACCTTGGTTTTACTTTCATTAATTCTCAAATTTCGTTTCTCAAGTTTATCTGTCCATATTTTAAGGTTTCTCTTAATTGCGTCCTCGTTTCTTCCAAATACGACGAGGTCTTCTGCAAATGCGCACTCCGCTATCTGTATAATTTCCAGGTTTCTATGTCCAACAAATATTCTCGATGTTTCTTTTCTATTTTCCTTCATTACATCATATAGTACAATATTGAACAGGATGGGGCCTAGTACACCTCCTTGTCGTAAGCGATCAATGACTCTAAACTCGGCTGATTCCATATTATCTGTTCTAACTCTGATTCTTGTGTTCTTGTATAGGCTCATAATAGCTTTTCTGAGTTTGCTGTCTACTTCTTAATTTTGTTTCAGAAAAAAAAAACTGTCGAAAGAAGAATATCAGAACAGCATAGGTACACTCACTGAAACCGCCAAAGTCTGGGGCTAGTCAAAATTCGAAGAAAAGTTATTATTTGGCCGAACATTTAGTTTTTCTGCAACCATATTTGAAAGGAGGAGAAACCTTAGGAAATCTTACTTACGTTCAAGATACTGCAGTAGAGGAGACCTATACCAATCAAAATGATGAAAGTGAGATAATTATTGAAGAGAAAATACCTGATGAAGCTTCTTCAGAGCAATTAATAGAAAAACTTGCTCATAATAACTCAAAACAAACATGGTTACAACGAAAAAATATGTTAATAAAGATAATCAAGATTGTGAACTCCTTATTTCTCTTTTACCTGATCTGAAAAACCTTAGTTTGCGTCGTAAGAGGACTTTCAAAATACAAACAATGTCTCTATTACGTAAGTTGTTAGAGGAAGATGAACGAGAGAATGTAGAATCCAGCATTTCAGTTGCTTCTAGCGTATGGAGTTTGTCATCCCATCATGACACCGAACAAACTCAATCTCACATGCGTAATATTGCAGCAACTTCGGAATTCAATTCGATTACCCAAATGCCAGAAGAAAGTCGAACTGAGTGGTACAATTTTTAAAAAACTATAAAAATAAAACTGTTTCAATAATAAAAAAAATTAAAAATAAAAGGTCTATATTTTATTTAAATTGCTGATTATATTTATAGCTATTTACCTTATAGTATTCAGGAGTTTTTCATCTGGAAAAATATCCTTCATGAAGTGTGTATCTTTTTTTTTTAATGTTTCTTGACACTAAGCTTTTCAGAAAATAAAAATTTTTTAGGTTTCATTCGATAAAATTCTTTAAATTTTGATTCGTGTTGAGACAGCTCTCTGGAAACAACAGCTGAGCTATGGTGTACGTTGATAAGATTGTACCGATGTACCCAGTATTTTCTTTTTCTTCTCATTCTACACCTAAACTAATAAGCCACTACAACGTCTTTCTCATTCGAGCTCATAAGTGTAACGCTCCTTTCATATTACACGATTTCGCTCGTGCGGGAAAAAATCGCCCGGGCAATTTTTCTTGTCGACTGTTGAAAAGTACGAGACCTTTCACAATGCACGATTAGAACACGGGCACGTTTTGTAATCGTGTTGCAGCCGTCCAATGCTACTAGAACCGCACGGCTACCGTATCGCCCTCTAGCTCAGTGGCCTACGTGACCAAAAGCACGCTTTCACAGTCTTTAGTCGTACGGGAACTGTCCCCAGTATTGTTTCTACCGCGTTCAGTTTTGGTGGTGTGTTTGCAAATTATGGAAGGTGTTAACGCTGAAGTGTTAATATCCCTAGTTAAAGCAAAACCTGTGATATGGGACAAAACTTTAGAAATTTATAAGGATAAAAATGCAACAAGGAAAGCCTGGTAAGAAGTATGTTTAGCACTCAACCGGATTTAGAGAACAATGGCAATGGAGAAAAAAATGCATTTGGTAAGTACTATACCTATTAACTTTCTATTAAGCAAAGTAAACTTACTTTTTGGACGTATGTATATTGTATTTTTTAATGTATATTGGTGTTGTATGTATTGTATACATCACTTGATTTACTATCTACAACAGAGACACTTTTTATTTTTATTTCATTTATTTATTTATTTTCACATATATGACAAATTATACTTTAGACATTTGCCAGGATACACTTCCGACTTCTGTCAAAAAATATGAGGTAAGCACACTTCTGATATTGTTTGCTTTCAAGCCTCCTCGTGTAGTGCTTTCTCCTGATACATCTTCCAGGCCTGTGATCGTCGTTGTGTTCTCAACAAGATATCCATCTCTGTCACGTACATAACTGTGCAATACGATGCACGCATTGACGATGAGCATTGCGAAATGTGGCTAAACGTTGATAGGGCTATGGAATATACGCCATTTATTGCTCAGGATGCCAAACGCACATTCCACATATTTTCGTGCTCTGCACAATCTATAATTAAAGACCCATTTTTCAACTGTTAAGCGTTTCCCTCCAAAGGGTCTCCAAATGCTTCGTCTCCAACAAAGAAGTATGGTATTATTAGGACTCTCTGTTCCTGGAAGAAGTTTTTCCTCAGCTAATGGTGGAGAACCACTGTCTATTGATTTCCACAATTTGGACCTCTTAAATATTGACGAGTCACACTCTTTACCATAGCTCCCTACATCAACGTAAATAAATCTGTACTTTGTGTCTGCTACAGCCATAAGGACAATAAAGAAGTAATCTTTGTAATTAAAATACATTGATCCTGAGTCAAACGGACAAGTCAGTCTTATATGCTTGCCGTCCACAGCTCCAAGGCAGTGAGGGAAGTTTGCGATACTTTCAAAGTTGGAAGCAATTGACTGCCACATATCACAAGTTGGTGTCGGTATACACTCTTCTCGCATTTCTGAGCAAATCGCAGCACATACTTCTTCAACTATGTTTTTTGCTGTTGAAATTCCAACTCTGTAGCTGTATTGCAAATCCGTAAACGTACAGCCACTCGCCAAATATCTGAAATAAAGTGAACATTGTCGTTAATAATTATCATACTGAATTGATTGTATTTATTTATTTTATTTTTGTTTTTTACAGGCAAAGAAGTGGTGAAAAGGTGGACTAATCTCCGAGATTGTTTCGCAAAATCGAAAAAAGATGACAAATCTGCTAAAAAAAGTGGATCTGGGGCTAAAAACACGTCAGAAATATGTGTTTTCAGACCAACTTCAATTTTTGAATAAGATCTATACCGAAAAAGAAACGGTAGACAGCTTCAACCCAGAAATTGTACCAGGAACACTCGAAGAAGATGAAGAGCCTGAAGGCACCACTGGTGAACCTGAAGTTTCTACCAACGTAAACCTACCATCCAAGCCCGTAGGAACAAGGAAACGAAAGAAACTAGATGAGGTTGAGGTGAAAATGCTCAAAGCTCTGGAACATAAAACGCCCTGCAGTAAAATGTCCTTCCTTCAGAGTTTAATGCCTCATTTGGCAAACTATTCCAATAGCGAATTCCTTTAATTTCAAGTGGGACTGTTAAACGTAATAGAAAACATAAACATACTAAAGGAAACTCCTCATCTTCAATCAAACAACCCCTCTTCTGTGCCCTCTTATCAACCACAACCTCAGTACATGCTTCAGCCATCTCCCGTTAACCAACCGCAAGCATTTGTCCATATTCAACAACCTCCATTTAAACCTCAACAATATGCAAATCCTAGTTTTTCGGAATACGTTAAAAATAGCGCACAACAGCTTTAATTTTCTCAATATGTACGTGAACAGCAAAATCAATCAAGGCCAACGCAGCAATCAACGTCTAAACAATCAGATTCACAATCCGAACTGGATTAAGCATCCGCATCTCAGTACCTACAGATATTTAGTTACAGTGACTCTTCAGCAACTGAAACTGAGCATAGTCCGTCTATTTCAGCTTCACGAGATACCTCGATGTCTGATCTATTTTGAGTGATTAAAATTAAATAAAGTATATTTGCTTAATTGATGGATTCGACCGTTACTTGATGGAAATTCATTTTATGTAACAATAAAACACTGAAGACTTTGTTTTCAAACTTCCACAAAATTTATTTTAAATATTATCACTACAGCTGTTTCGGCTGATTGCCTTTCTCAAGTGATCTATTTTGGCTTGGGTTTAATATTCCAAAAATAGATCACTTGAGAAAGGCAATCAGCCGAAACAGCTGTAGTGATAATATTTAAAATAAATTTTGTGGAAGTTTGAAAACAAAGTTTTCAGTGTTTTATTGTTACATATATTTGCTTATTCAAAAGGTTTTATTATATTACCTACTACTGTAATATTATGCTTACCTTAAACATATTGCCAGCATTTCAACAGGTTGTATACAGTTTCTGAACTGCGTGTTTTGTCGTTGTAGAACACTCTTCAGTTTCCCATGTAACTCATCAAAGGAGCGAACTGACATACGAAATTAGTTGAAAAACTTTTGGTCATCGTTTCTAAGATCTTCAAATAATGTGGGGAACATCCCGACTTCCTCTCGTCTCTGATTAATTGGGTGAATCCAGTGAAGGCGATTGCACCTTTGTCTTTTCCGACGCCGATACAGTATCCATAACGCAATAACTTGTTCGCGATCCATAATTTTCATCCAGACCAGACCAAATGTTCCGATGAACTGATAAAAATGTATGATTTTTATCGTTCAATGAGAAGTAGCAAAACCACGATTAAAAATCGGACGATTTTTTCCCGCACGAGCGAAATCGTGTAATATGAAAGGAGCGTGAAGAGAATTGTGCTTCTACCATCATCGCACTGTCGCGACGATTTATCGTTCGTTCTCTTTGAACCTTCCTAGCAATATATCGTGGCGATAAAATGTCGCTTATCGGAAATCGCCCGAGTATGAACGTCGCCTTAGACCTACGGCGATACTGCTAAGGAGCCCAGGCGATTCGAATCTACTTTTTGCAAGGCTTCATATGATTTGTCTTACATACATAAAAAATATGAAGAAAAAACTATTGGAAGCCGAAAAAATATATTTTTTTACGTATATCGATTTTGATATTTGAAATTCAATTTTCTTTAATCTGATTATTAACTTATTATTAAAATATGTTATAAATATCATAAGTTATAAAAGTATCCTAAGTTTTCAACAAAGACACAAAAATTTTATTACGAAATCATCGAAAAATTTGTGCCTTATCCTTCAGTTAATTCTTTTGTAAATGATCTTTAAAATTTTTAAAGCAAGCTTAAAACAATATACATATAAACCGAAATAAAACCATAAAGTCAAAATGTTGCAATTCACTTCTTCACAGGTCTACGCGCTACAATTTCGTCGAATGAGACTACACTATAAAAGGAAAGCTGTCAGCAGGCACTTACTCGATTTTGTTGGATGAGAAAAGATTAGGCAATAAAAGTTGCCAACATCAAAATAAAATTCATTTGGAAGCTGCTCACGTCGTGAGGGTTACGCGCGGAATTTGAGATTTTCTTGAGAACGCATATGAAGAAAAAATAAAGGGAAAATAACGAAAATCTTCAAAAGTAATTTAATTGAAGAAGTATGTTATAAAAGCCGCGAATCAATGAATTTAGAAAAGTGGATAAAAGGCGGGTCTTACTGGGAATACTGATTTCCTAGCGAGCTAGGAAATATTAGTTTTAAACAGAATCGACTTTTTATAAGTATCAAATGTTTTTAACGAAAGTTTCTATTGCTATTGCGTTATTATTTAATTCTTAAAGCTTTATTTTAGAATTTTGCTAACACTTTTATAAATTCTGTAACCAAATTGATTTTATTATATTGTTTGTCACTGAAATAAATAAAAAAATGTTTTAGCGTTCACAATTAAAAATTTTAAGGTTTTCTTTTAGATTCCTCAATGTGGCCCCTCCTAAGGTGACGGATAGGGGAATGCCTCCCAAATATAGCTGATACCAACAAAATAAAAGAATCGGCGTGAACCAAAAATCTAGTTTTGGAAATTAAAAAGTAGGAACTAAAAAAAGATATCAAAAACAGCAAATTTACTAATATGTAAATTGGAGCTGGAAAGTCAGATAATAAAACAAGTAATAGAGTTTAAATAACTAGGCATCACATTATCTACCTGTGACATACGCGACAGAAACAAGACTGACACAGAAAGGACAAAAAGGATGTTAGAAACAGCAGACCTGAAAACACTTAGCACAAAAAATAGAAAACTAGAATGGATCGATCATATAAGCCGAATGACAACAAATAAAGCAGTAAATACGACAAGAGACGGATAGAAAGATGATTAGTAGAAAGGCCACTCGTACTGGTCTCAACTTGCGTGGAGGAGGGGCTTTGAATTGAGTAGGGGCTTTTAAGTACTTTGCGTAAGACAGACTAGGCAGGGAAGTCCCGCCTAGTCTGTCTTAAGAAGCAGCCCCGACACTGCGCGTCCCAATAGCTGATAGGGAAAATTCCTGCAGATATGCAGGACAGATACGAATAAGGCATAGCCAAATAAGTACCCGTGAATCAACTGAGGACATGGCATTAGGCAGCAGTAATGTCATTTCTGCATTAAGGCTGTGAAAAAGTACAAAAATATCCTGTAGGCTTAATTCTAGATACTCACAGGCGCCACTTGCGCTATAAGTCAAACGGCTCTGACATTGCTATGAAGAAGACAACTAAAACCACCCCATAAATAGTCTGTAGTGTATCCATCATGATTAATGTAAACCAATTTGGACCAGGTACTGATCATGGTCTTCAGATACCAAGATCCCACAGGGCAGGAAGAACAAGAAAATGTAGGGCTTCCCAGGTCGTCAACCCACGAAATCCTTACAAATATTTAAACACTAATAGAGAAAAAGTGTGCACGTCGAAATGTTCGAAGTATATTTGAAGGGGGAGATATACACAACACCATACAAGAAATAAAAAGACTAAATATCGACGTGATAGGAATTAGCCAGATTAGATGGCTAGGCTCGGGACTGTGCTGTGTGGATGAGCATATAGTATATTATGCTGGAAACAATAAACCACATCACTGTAATAGCGTAGCAGTGATTCTGAGCAAAAAGGTTACTGAGGCTGTGATCAGCGTGCTACCTTTCTCTGATAGAGTCATTCTGATAAAGCTGCAAGGCAGACCTGTTAATACGAAACCACTTTCAAATTTACTCTCTAACATCAGAAAAGCCAGAAGAGGATATCGGCGAGTTCTAGGCACTTGTACAAAAAGCACTAAAATATACCAACAAGAACGAGCTTACCATCATCATAGGTGATTTCAATGACAAAGTTGGCAAAAACAGGATAGAAGACATCGTCGGACAACACGGCTTAGGCGAGACAAACGAAAGGGGAGACCGACTTATCCAATTTTGTCGGAAAGAAGATTTTACCATTACTAATACCTGGTTTAGACTTCCCTAGAGATGACTTTATACCAGAGACCACCTAGAGACCACTTTATACATGGAAGTCAATTGCAGATACAGCCAACAATTTCTAATTATGTTGTTAATCTGATAACTTATTTAATAAATAAAATACTTGAACATTGTACATGTAATGACCATTTAAAAAAAGCTGTAATTACACCTATATTGTAAAAAGGTAATACTAAGTTAGTGCAAAATTATTATATTATATCATTTATTAACAGCCTTGCAAAAATCTTTGAAAAGGCCATAGCCAAACGAGTAAATCAATATCTTACAAAATTTAACCTGCTGTCTCCAAACCAATTTATTTTAAAGAAGAAATATTCCACTTCAAATGCTGTGACTTCTATAATGGCAATAATGGTTCTCTTACTTTAGCGATATTTTGGATCTAGCTAAGGAATTTGACACTGTTAGTCAGCAGTAGTTGTTAGGTGCTTAGGATGATCTTAGAATAACAGACATACTGTACTTACTATTCCAAAGTTATTTAAAAAATGGATCACAAATTGTCAAAATTAATAACAAAGTAAGTGCTGAAAAAACCATTGAGAACGGTGTGCCTCAAGGTACTGTTTTAGGTCCTTTACTGTTTTTATTATATATAAATGATTTAGCATCCATGAAAATACATGGAAAGATTATTTGATTTGTTGACGATACTGTCATACTTAACACTAGTGATTCTTGGAATAAACATAAAACTTTGGCAGAAACAGAAACTATAAAGGTCTCAGAATGGCTTAATAGTAAATTAAAAAGTAAAAATAATTTACCCGATTTCTTGGAATTAATCTAAGCTATAATAACGTGTACATTAAAATAAATAAAAAAAATACATAAAATATTTAGGCGTTTATATTGATTGTCAGCTGAAGTGGGCTGAACGTATTGATATGGTATGTAATACTCCAAGAGTGTTACCATACAAATTTAGATATCTTAGCAATATCTTTACTTTGTCTTAATTAAAGACAGTATACTATTATATTATGCCATTTTAGCATGGGGGTGGGGGAAAAAAGTTAAGAATTTTTAACCTAGTTAGGAAATACGTAGAAGAACATTATGGTAAAAATAGTGACATTGAGATGGCAATGTGTAGCACGTGTAGCAAGACAAGACCCCAACAGATGGTCTCATAAAGTGACATTTTGGAGACCTCGAGAAAAGAAGCGTGAGAAGACCCAAAAAGAGGATAGACAACATAACAGCTGTAGCTGGAAAGCAATGGATGAGAATTGCAAAAGATACGGAAGCGTGGAATAAATTGGAGGTGGCCTATGTCCAACAATAGATAAATAAAGGCTGAAGAAGAAGAAGGAGAAGACTACACAGGAGGTTTTTGAAAATAATGCTAAAAAAATCTCGCTTATATTCATCATAACTACTTTATCAACAAGCAGGTATTTTTAATTAGACAATTCGCACCTTCAGTGCAATACTGCAGTAACTCAAAACTTTATGAAAATGAAGTAATCATGGAATTTTATTGTAAACATGCATATCTATCCCTTGTAAAACTTCAGTAACTTTCAAATGCTTAACCAGCTAAATATTACAACACCAACAGTTTAACTTTTTTGCGTTTTTGTACATAAGTTTCGTGCAAAACTGCTGTAATTCTAATGTAACAGTTTTGCACGGAACATTAAAATGTTTTCGATAACAAGCAATGGAAGGCACGAAAAAAATAAGATATTTGTTATTTTAATATCTGTATGTGTGGTGTTTAATTTTAATATACAGCGTCTCTACGTAATCCAGTAACGACCGAGACAATAAACAAAGATTTACGAGACAAATATATTCATGTAAGTTTTATGTCCTTTATGTGACATTATATTTTTCATAAAATATGTGCGATGTCGTTTGACCATTTATTTATTAGATTGGATTAAAAACACATAGGTTAAGACAAATTATTTACAGCCAAAAAGTATTTTTTCTTATAAAGTTATCTTTAAACTTGTGTATTAACAATACTGATAGGTTCAAAATATCTTTTCTCAGAAACTTGTTCTATAATAATTAAATCCCAAAATTGTATTAAATCTTTATGTAACCTTCCGGGTCGATTGCCTTATCATTTGTTCCCCCGTAATTCCCAATTTTTACTAAGGTAGTGAATTTCAATCCTTTTGTTAATGACTGTACTCACGGTAGCCTGATTTGCATATTTTTATTATAGTCCTTTTGTTTTGAATTTTAATAAAAATATTAAAAGTTTTACAAATAATTTTTTTACCTTTTATGACATTGTCATTATAAAGCGAAGGAATTGTGGCTATCAGAAACATGTGCAGAGATAGAAAGATTAAATTGCCGTTAGCGATAAACCGTTTATTAAGTATATGGACTTTGGCTAGATTAGATAATATCTTCAACTGGGGTCAAATCAGGTGTTTCTAACCACTCACCTTTGGATTAGCATGTTCTGAAGTCGAGACGATGCAAATTGCGGCGCCAAGATATGAAATGGACAGATATGGGATATAATTTTGTGCTTCATTATTGTAACAGGCACATTAACAATTAAAATATCTACTGCTTCTAGAAAAGTCTATGGTCATATGCTAGATCCTAAATGGGTTGTTTCGATATGCAGCTGTGCAAATAGAGTCGGCTATTATCATTATTCATATTACGTTGTCAGGGGATATAATAGGATTGTTCCTGTAGATATTTATGTACCTGGGTGTCCTCCAACTGCTGAAGCATTGATGTACGAATTATTAATGTAGCGAAAGAAAGCCAACCGCTCCAATGCTGTACAAACGTGGTATAGAAAAATATCAGTCGGAAGTTTCAAGACAAAGTTTCCAAAATGGAAAAGAAGAAAAGAAAGGGAAAGAAAGAGTAAAAAACAAGAAATAAGTAAAGTTGTAACGATCCATAAGATGTTTTATATTGTATAATGGAAAAAAATAAACATTATTCTTATTATTATTATATAAACATACACACATGTTTAGAAAAATAATCTGAAACTACTAAATATCAGCTGGATTCAAGCACCACATAACAACAAATAGATACTTTTGAGGAACAGTTATGTCCTATACATATTTCTAAATTTAAAAGAGTATGTAAACATATTTTTTCTTTCGTAATAAAATTTATATTCTAACGCTCAAGGAAACTGACACACAAAACATAAAACGTTTAGGGAAAGTTCAACAATGTTAAATTGGTGCCTTATCTAATTTTATTCCTCAGAAGCTCAAAGCTACGTTTAAAAATCCAGGTAAAATATTTGTGCAATATTTCATGCCGAATTGCGTTCTTTATAACTTGATAAATTATGATTTTAGGATATCAAACTTTGACAATTGGCGCTGAAGTCATAAATTCTACGTTAAATGACGACAAAAAGTTCACGGAGAAGGCGGAGTGTTATCATTAGTAATAAATTTATCCAAGTGCTTCTCTCGTAAGTTTTAAAATTTTCTCTAAACGACAAAAATGGCAATTTTATATCTAGTATGTACCACGAAAATTTGACAAACCGCATGTGATTGTATTCAACTGCAAATAATCTAATTATGATAGCTCTGGTTATTGAAAGAATTCTAATTTAAACAATTAAAAAATTAAATTTTATGCGCTGTCTTTAACAACGAAAAGTTAAAAGGTAAAGTTGATTACTTACCTCGAGCTCTAGGTTTGGTCAACAACTTGAGAACGATGCTATCGTAGGCTGACTCCCGAGCGACACCAGAATCTTTAACAAGTTTTTCCTTAACTGCTATACAAATTGAGTATTTAGCAAGAAGATCTTCTAGTTCTTCAAACGCCTGCAAAAATAAAGCCACAATATATTTTATTTCTCACAATAGACTTTAAATATTTTACTAAAATTTATTTACTTCCTAGTAGAGTATAGTAGAGTATTTATTTAACTACATAACATATACAAATATTGTTTGTAGCAAGTCAAAAAAAAACATACATAGTATTACATAATAAAACATTAAATAATACAAACATGAAAACATATTAAACAGAAAAATATTTATGGCAAAGTTACGGTAAGCAGTTCAGTGGATGTTCTGCAATGAGTCATATATTCTTCTGAGCAGTAAAAACAATGTTTTAAAAGATATTTTTTTATAACTTTATCGAAACTATTACAGCTTAGCTCTTTTATACTTTTTGGTAAAATATTGTAATAGTTATAATTAAGACTATTTTTTTCTGAAAGACTTTCAGAAATCTACAGCGATTTGTTCGTAGGTAGTGACAGTTTCGCGTATTGTGAACATGGACATCAGACTGCTTTATTAAATGGGCACGTTTTCTGTGAATTTGAGTTAAAACTTGAAATATCAACAGAGTAGGTAGAGGCATAATTTTGAATTTGATAAAGAAAGGTCGGCAATGTTCTAGATAACTAACCCCTGCTAAAATCCTGACAGCTTTCTTTTGTATTCTAAAAATTTGAAGTGCATTTGTTGAATTGCCCCATATAATTAATCCATAGTTTAGATGAGTTGACGAATAACAAATAATGAACTTGATAGCTGTTTCTTAAGGTGTGAGATATGAGCAGACCAGTTGAGTCTATTATCTATGGTTATTCCCAATAGTTTAACAGTCTCTTTGTTAACTAGATCATTGTGTATATTATTTGCAGATAAAACCATATTTTGCGTTTTATCAGAGTTAAGTTTTAGTTTGTCATTTTTAAATCATCATTATTTTTTCCTGATATAACGTATGTCGTATCATCTGCGAATTGTATGGTTCTGTACGGAGATATGAATTTAGGCAGATCGTTGACATAAATAATAAACAAAAGAGGTCCTAAGACCGAACCTTGTGGGACTTCATGTTTTACGGATAGAAAATCAGAGAGATGACCTTTAGATACTACCGCCTGGTGTCTGCCACATAGATAAGAAGTTATAAGCTTAAGAGGGATACCTCTGATTACATAGTAATTTAATTTGTGGAGCAAAATGTCGTGTGAAACGCAGTCAAAAGCCTTTGATAAGTCACAAAGAGAAATTGCTATGCGATTGCCGCGTTCAAGCCCCTCAATCACCTCGCTCACAACATTAAATACTGCGTTCGTAGTAGAACGAGCACTTCTAAATCCATATTGTGAGTTGCTAAAGTAATTATTTGACTCAAAATAGGAATAAAATTGTTGTTTGATAACCTTTTCAATCACTTTCCCAAAAGTAGAAACAATGCTTATGGGTCTGTAATTGTCAGTTTTTGAGGAAGCACCTTTTTTGTAGATTGGTAGTACTTTTGAGTATTTTAGTACTTCTGAAAATACTCCGGTGGATAGAATTAAATTAATAAGATGAGTAAAAGGTGTTAAAACTATTTCGTAAGTTTTTTTTTTAATTTTGCTATTAATCTCGTGAACGTCCCTACAATTAGAATTACTAAGGGACTTTATTATTTGAGATACCTCTTCTTCCAGAACGGGCCGAAAATAAAATGACTTGCTCGGAGAAGGATAATTTCTATAAATTGACGAGGACATCGACGTTAATAGTGGGAAGAGATGTAATTATATTCTCTGCAATTGTACTAAAAAATTTATTCATTTCGTCTGGAGGTAGATCAGGTTGTACCGAACTGGATTTAGTGTAGTTTCTTTCGAAATTTACTATTTTCCAGCAGTCTCTAGGTTTATTATTGGAATTAGTAATAAAATTACAGTAAGATGACTTTTTAGCAATTTTTAATTGCCGATTATATTCAACTTTTTGTTGTTTATATACTTTGAACACATTGGGATTCTTGGTGGCCTCTGCAATGTGTTGGATAAGAGAAATATTAGATCTGTTAGACCTTAATTCATTATTAAACCATTGCACAGGTGTTTTTTAGTCATTTGTCGTACTTTTTTTAGTGGAAAATACTGTAATATTAAATTGTTATAAGTTTCGATAAGAAAGACTGTCAAAGAATCAGGATCATTATTAATATCGTAGAAAAAGTAATTGTTCGTAAAAGCTAGCGCACGTTTAAGCTTCTGTAAACCAGAAGAAGTAATAAACCGTTGAAATGTTTGATTAGTGTCAATAACTTTATGCTCTGAGTCAATAAATAAAAATTGAGCTCGATGGTCAGAAAAACAAGGTTCAAATACGCCCACTCTATAGATATTTTCAGAAAAATTTGTCATAATGTTGTCAATGCAACTTCTGTACTGGTATGTGATTCTAGTATAATCGTTTATAGTTATTTTTAGACCAAAAGATGTTAATAGATTTTGAATATCAAAAAAATGGTCAGATTCAATTTTAAAATTTATATTACAATCTCCAAGTATGATTAGTTTGTCAGCTTTACTAAGCAAGGATGTTATGACATTTTCAAAATTCACCAAAAATAAGTCAAAGTCACCCTTACCCGATCTGTATACAGTTAAAATATTGGTTTTTATTGAAGGTACATAAATTGCACAAACTCAGAACTTTGCTCTACATTATATTCATTTAAATTAAGAGAAGAATACATAAGATTTTCTTTTACATAAATTGCAACTCCGCCTTGTTTCTTTTTTACCCTACAAAAGAAATTAGCTAATGAGAATCCGGAGATGTTAATTACTTTTAAATTTTCTTCACTTAGCCAGTGCTCCGAAAAACATATGACGTCATATAATTTTTGATCATATCGACTTTATTTAAAATACACTGCAAATTAACATGAAACATGCTTCCTATAGTAGAAACCACAGTTAGAATAAAGAGCAGGTAAGATAGACAATGTATTTCTTACGGGAGGACGGCCAATGACCTTGCCGGCTTGCCCCGAGCGGCCCATCAGGACCAGCTTTAAGAATCATAACACTAAAATATTCGCGCACACAACAATGGCCTACGGTTAAACGACTATCAATATTATTTTAACTAAAGTATGATTCAATCATCGATGTATAACTATAATATATTTATCAATTTTTAGTTGCTAAGAAACACATTCCTTGAAAAATACAAATCATTTAAAAGTCATTAGGAAAAGTGAATCATGTTTATTCTATATTGTCCAGGCAAAGCAAACATGGTTCTTTGTAAATGTAAGTACTGACCATGAGACCAAAAACTTGGTGTTAAAAATATGAAAGCTCAGTTCTATTTTATTTTCTCAAGTGGATGAAAGTAGCTACATCATACAGGCGTTGCCAGTATCTGTCGTGAATTTCAAACAATATATGAATCTGTGTATCAGTTAGACGTGTGGTGTTAAATATATTGAACTGTCATCTTAACTTAAAAAAAATGGCGACAGCTTCGAAAAAGCTATGTTCGCAAAATTTATAATATCCGCGAAGGGTCCCAGCAAGACAAACTGAAACCAATACAAAAAAAAGAAGAAAAACAGGTTCCAGTGCAATTAACGTAAGAATACTTACCACGGAGAAGCAAAATTTTGAATAAGAAAAATTGTCCATGACTTTTTTTTTTGGAAAACACCAACAGTCTACAGCATAATGAACAGATCCGAAGAAGAAGATGATTCCTACAAAGTTAAAACGTGAAATCTAAGACGAGATATCTAAGTACAAAGCGCCCTGAAGACTATGAGGTATATAAAGAAAAAAGAAAAGAGGTTAAAATAGCTGTAAAAGCAGAAAAAGAAAGGTCATGGAAAAAGTTTGGACTAAAAATGACAAATAATTAAAGGGAAAATCAAAAACTCTTCTATGGCGCATTAAAACAGCTCAAACAAAATAAAGAACACATGATGCCGAATATAAAAGACAAGAATGGAAAAGTGATAATTGAAGAACACCAAATAATGGAAAGATGGAGAGAACATTTCAAAGAGCTAACTCATACAGACGTAGACAACATAGTGGAGATACAAGAAATAAATGAAGAACAAAAAGTAGAACCCATAACAACAGAGGAACTAGACAAGGCAATTGAAAGAGTTTAATTAGGCAAAGCACCAGGCAAGGATCATATCACCCCGGAAATGACAAAATTCATGGAAATAGAGGAAGTGGACAGCATGAAGAACTAATGAATGATATCATAAAGAGATCAGAAATACGACAGGACTGGAAGAAAGACATTATACTACCAATACACAAAAAGGTCGACAAGAGAAACTGTAATAATTCTCTCTCTTCAATCCTGACCCCCAGGGGGAGTGTAGTGGTCGACGTGATGTCGTGTATTGTCCGTCTCCAGAGATCTCTGTCTCTGGTCATTTCTTTTAATTCATGCATATGTCTTTGGCATATTCCTGTAATTTGATCTACCCATCTTGTTGGGGATCTTCCTCGTGATCTTCGGCCTTCTACCTTTCCTTGTATTATGAGCCTTTCCATGTTTTCTGTGTTTGCTCTCATAACATGCCCAAAATATTTTAATTGTTGGAGATGGACTTTACTAGAGAGTCGTTGGCTAACTTTTAGCTCTCTTAAAATTGAATTATTTCTTCTACGGTCGGTCCAAGGAATTCGTAACATTCGTCTCCAACAGAACATTTCACTGGCGTCTGTCTTTCTTCTCTCCGATTGTCTCAGAGTCACATCCGTAGGTCAGTATTGGGAATATTAAGCAGTTGATCAACCTCATCTTTATCGCTCTTAAAATTTGACAGTCCTTCCATATTTTGGTCATTTTTGTTGTGGCAACTTTTGCTAGATCACATCTACGTTTAATCTCTTCTTGTAATGACTCTGTCAGTAATGATTAATGATCCCAGATATAAGTATGAGCTCACAACCTCGAACCGATCAATTGTGGTTTATATTGTGTAATAATTACCGAGATATTAATATATCAAGTATTCCTGGGAAGGTATTCGCAAGACTAAT